AGTGAAGAAGACTTTGTAAAAGATGATCACGATGTTTCCTATCAGGTTTAAACAATAACAAAATGAATGATAAAAAATAAACCATAACACCTGGAAGACCAGTTACACTACAGCTCGAATCGCCACCCACTTTATGAGGAAATTCTGTATTTAATTCTTCGTGAGTTATTATGCGACCGGTGCCGGGCAAACATTAAACAAGAGAAAAGCGCGGGAAAACATACAACGACAAAGCGGGGAGTGGATGCAACCGGCGCTAACCGATAGGAACGGTAAAAAGCGCGGGAAATGGTGAAGTTAAAGCAAAGTCGATCTGCTTACACGAGTCTTTCACTACTTTTCAGTTACGTGAAAGATAACGTAGAAAGGCAAATTGCATCTATAATTCAACACCTTGCCCGCTCCAAATATTCTTTAGCTCGCCCAAAGTCCCCTTCGTCCAAATACAGAAATCCAATCTCTGCACATGCGTAAGGAGCGAGGTAAAAATCCTGCTTCAAATCTTTTGATCTGTAAATAAGAAACACAACCGTCCCTCACACACATGTTCATATTACAGTTATTTACTGTACGACATGACCGAGTCACTGGTAACACGAATTCTGTTCATACACCTCTATGTACAAGTTCCATATCTGGGCTCTTCACTCGACTGAGAACAACTACGGCGAAAGAAAATGGAGCAGCTGTATTGGATAAGTTGACGAAAGAGATCTGGGCCGGGTTGTTCAAAGCTAGGTTAAGATAACCCAAGGTTTGTGCAAAACATGAATTCAGATCTGAAAGCTTTAAAAGGAAATTCGGTCGAATTGTTTTTGTCTTAAATATGATTATTGGATGCTCTAAAAAGAACGCAGTAAATTATCCCAAAAACGCTTTTCCGTTAAGGAATAAAGAAACCCAAATTAAAATTTAACCTTGGGTCAGCGCTAATCGGCCTTCGAACAAGTGGGCTCCAGAGAGAGTACAAAGCTAATATGAACATGGGAGAAGGATTGGGACGAGATAGTAAAGATGTCGAAATTTGAGCCAAGTATAATTAAGTTAAACGCGTCCCAGTTTTTAAAATTAAAATTAGCATGAAGCGGGTAGAGTACTCTAATATTTCCAGGATGTGAAGCTAATCCATGGCAACATTTCTTCAGGTTTTCTAAACAGTTCGCCACCAGCCTTTTATACTCTGGGTTGAGGAGAGGCACTAGAAAGTGCTTTGCCAAAGAGCATTAAGCGGGGACCCAGTCAGGCTGGAACCCAAGCCTCTGTGTATGGAGTCCAGTGCGTTAACCACCGGGTATGGGATGGAATGGGTTGGTGTTCCCATAAGATCTTGAAAGAAAGAAAAAAAGGGAAGAGGAGGGAAAGAAAAAAGAAAGAGAAATATTATGCTTGGCAATGTTAGCATGAATCCCCATCATTTACCTGTCGAAAGAATTTCTCAAACATTCCATTGCTTCTTTCCTGTTACTCAAGCAACGATGACACATTCCCTGCAGGAGTTTACCCAAACACAAGTCGTCTACGAAATTTTCATTCTCTTCTAGAAGAAAAAAAAGTGTGCGTTATGAATATCAACCGTTATAATTGCGGGGATATAATAGTATATTTTCCGTGAGAATGTTCGAATTGGATAGAAACCGGGCTTACACCGTATTTCTTCGACTAAACGCCCGGGTGCTTATTTAAAATTTCGGCTAGAAGGAGGGGGCGCTTATTGGAAGAAGAGCGCTTAATCGAGGGAGCGTGTATTAAGAAACTGTCCTCTTGTTCTGATTATGCTGTAGTGAAATCTTAAAATGTTCTCGATAAAGTGACAATTGATACAGTTTCTTCTCGTATCCCTACCATTTAAGAAATTGAGGGGGGAGGGGAAAAGGGGCGCTTGTTTGATATATGGCCTAGGGGGTAGGTGCTTATTCAGGGTAGGGCGCTTATTAAAGGAAATACGGTATCCGAGAAAGACAAGCGAGTTGATACATTTTGCGCTACAACAGTCTTCAACTGAGTATCATAAGGTTTTTTAAGTCTTCAGCTTCGAGATTAAACGCGACCAGTTTTTGAACGTGTACAGAAAAATTTCCAAAGATATATAAACTACTGTAAGGTAAAACTCGGGAAGACAAAATGTAGAAAGAAAAACAGTCTACAAAGCTACAAAACTGAATCAGAAAAAAAATTACAGCGACTCCGAGTTAGCTTTATCTCAAATGCTGGACTGCATAACTTGCCTTTTGTTTGCTTTAGTTTATGTAAAGAACTCTCCACTAGTTTCATTAGAGGCGGAACTAAGTCAGGTCTGTGAGCGAGGACTTTGAAGCCATTCCATATAAATAGAAGCTCCTGGTGATAAATGAAGAAATAATATCTTCCGTAATTCAAAGGGAAACTGAAATGACAATCTCGTGTAACGTTCTTTTTCATTTTAATTTATTAACCCCTAAGAGAGACCAGCATCTAATTTCTCCAGACAATATCACACCTAAATCAAACTTTAGGGTGACGAGACAAAAGGAAATAATCATTAACTAAATCAGCTCTAGAATGTTATACAAATTCTCCTTGTCAGCACCTTGAGGAATTTATAGAGAACAGTGTGGAGAATATGCCTACTGATGTTATGGAGTAAAGAGTTAAGCGTATATCAAACAAGGTTGGACTTACCACTCCAGGCAGAAAAAGACGGCCCTTTTGTTCAAAATACTTGTTTGCCTTATGGATGGCAAAGTCTTCAAATGGAAGAGACTGACCTGCGATACGCTGCTTAAAATCTGGAAGACGCCTTAGAAAAAAAGGGAAATTAGAAACAAAAGAAAACAAAGGAAAAAATTGATTGTGGGAAAAATGGGAACTACAAAACTTCTGGGAAATGGGGTGGGGTGGGGTGGTGAATCTTGCGATGACATGGAGAGACGGTAAAAAACAAGGCGAAAGATTGTCAATATTTGTAGCCTTCATTAAATTTTTAAACGCTTACCTAAACATAAAGCTCTCTGTGTGACGTCCTTCTTCATCGCTAATTGCCTGGTTGGCCAGTCTGGCCGTGAGTTTGAACGACGCCTTTAGATGCATGTAAACAGTCTGAATATTTAGAGAGACGTTTAAAAATTGTCACGAGCGAAGGAAAGAAGCAATTTGTTTCTCACATAGAGCAATTTTCAATTGAGTGTCGAAAGTAATTCGAGATTGCTTGATTTTGGTTTGTTATGTGGTTGGTCTAGGAAACTCGCGCTACTTTTTGAACCAATCAGATTTACAACTAAAATCTACTGCATCGTTTGCATGTTTCTACTTTGAGTTCTCATTGGCTCCTCGTGATATTTTCCTTGCTAAGATTGGCTGAACCTTTTTCGTGTTGTCCGAGGGTGGGGTAAAGAGAAAAATACTGAGTCTCCATGAGGAATCGCACCTAATATTTTCAGATTTCGCGCTCCGATGCTCTTCCACTAAGCCACAGAGACTATGTGGTATGAAAGGCTATTACAGACTTCAGGGAGCGCCAAGTCCCTGTAAGAAAAGGACACAACGAAGAATAGAAACATTTTTGTTGTGGAAACAGGGTGAGAACGTTTGAATAACGTGCTATGTTCATGAAACTTCAAGAAGCTTTCGTAATCAAAGAGGAACAACTTTTACTGTTGTTTCGAACTATTAAGGTTTAAGAGCGTGGAGTTGAGGCAAAAAATGTTTCTCCCTTAACCTCACCACTTATTGGCAAAGACATACAATCTTAACAGATGTCTGTTCTCTACATAAAAATAACATTTTATTGTGCGTTATTTACCTTCGACCACATGCTCTCTTCAAAAAGAATTCCAGCGTATTGATAAGCCTCGGCCCAGTCTCCTTTGCACCTGCAAAATGTAATCTTATCAGCAAGACCAAGGAAATATTGTAGCTGACGCAAAATTTCGCAACGAAGCCTATTCAGCTATTTATTGTTATACTTACGCGTGGCACCACATCAGCTCCCAGTAGAAAATATGATGAAATTGTTTAATCTCTGACTGAATTGTGATCGAGTGCTTGTATCTGTTGATGGCCTAGAAACAAATGATAGAAAGCTTTAACTTAAACAAACAAACCCAGGTTAAAAAGTGTACATTCCTTTAGTTACCCTGCTCACTTGGTGCTATGATACGCTGACCTCGAAAAAAATTATATCTTTAAAAATCGAAAAAGGGAATTGGAGAAGCGAGTCCTCGCCATTGCATGAGAGAAAACAGCCGGGCGATTTTCGGCCTCAGATGCGTTGAAAACTATTAGCACTTACCTCTTCCAGTTTCCCTCGAACTTGTTTAATGCGACCATCGTAAAACAGAAAGAGTGATCCCTGTTCCAAAGATTTACAAAAAGAAGTTACAATGGTGTAAAAACTACCACTTAAACTGTTTGATCTGCAAAATACACTCTGCTCATCGAAAAATAGGAGAACAACAAGAGCTCAGCTAAAATAAAAGAAAAAGACTATAAGTGAGGCGACATCAGTTTTCGATTACGTCGTTTCTAGTACCGGCTTGTGATTTGCTGGAAAACTATACTGAAGAACACTAACACAGAACGAGAATCTGTAGAATTGATAACAAAATAATCGCATCTTTTCCCAACACTGAAAAAATACAGTTTTTGCCAACAAAGCGTTAGTACATAGCCTAGAGAACCTCTGGAATTGAATTCAAAAGTGCGTTTAAACCAAAAATACACAATTGCAATTACCTTTGGAAATGTTGTCAAAAGAGGCTGAAGGATTTCCTCAGACTGATCTATATCGCCATCACCGTTCCCTACAATAAACACATAATCATGGTAGTGTAATTTCATACACAAAGAAAACTTCAACTCTCGGTGTTTTAATCCAGATCCCAGACCTGGGAATGAGGCTGTGATTAAAGAACAATTTCTTACAAAATTACCCATAAGCGCACTAACAAGATCAGTACCGGACCAACAAAATTGGAGTTTATGAAGATACGTGCAAACCATGACAAGGATGATTTTTTTTGGCAGTAATCCGTTAAAAATACCGAAAAAATATATATTTTATTTTTTATGGAGAGCCATAATATTAAAACCAGGGTTACCACAACCACAACAAAATAATTTAATAAAAAATCACGTCACAAGAAGCCGAAGAAGACTCAATGTGAAAACAAGCAAAACTGCACGGACAGAAAAACGCGGGAAAACGCGAACGACCGAGTCGTGATTTGTTTCAGTTTTGAATCTAATCGGTTGTTAAGGTGGAGCACGTTTTCTTAACCAATCACAGAGCGAAGTATCTCAAGCCAATTAAAAACGGCTCTATTAACCAAGACTCGATCTAAATGGTCCTTTGAATTATTTTTGTTTTTTTTTTTATGGCACACGATCAAAAGTTTATTTTTACTTCAAAACTTCAATGCTTGTAAAATGTGTAACTTACCTAAATACTGGGTAATCCATGTATGGTAGGCAAGGAGAAATAAAGAGCACAGTGGGGACCTCAGACTCTGGCCTTTACTTCCCTTGTGTAAATGATTTATCCCTAGAAACTGTGGTGTCCCAGAAACGAAGAAAAAATGAAATTTAGAAAACGTCACTAACTGTGAACTAAAAGATGGTACATGAAAATAGATGAATAGATACTTACCCTGTCTCCTGAAAAACCAACCCACTCTAACAATTTTATAATTATGGGTGGAAGTAAAGACAACACCTTAAAAGCAAATAAACAAGCAAGAAAATAAACATAACTTCATTTTAATTAAAAAAAAAACGCAAAACCAAAAGTTGCCTTTTATCAAGAAACTGATCAGAATTTTATGAAACACACAGTGTAACTCAGGGACTATTTTTCTAACATCAAATAAGTAAATTGTTGTGATTATTTAATTTTAACACATCCTAATGCTTGTTACATTCTCGTCCGTCTTTTTTAAACTATCATATTTAAATGCTAATATTTTTGGATTCTATTTATAATTTTTCATATTTTCAAGAACTGGAAAATAACTGTAGAGAGGTTGAACCATTGTTTCTTTTCGTCACCTATTTTCATCTCAAAGTTTAGATTTGAAACTTAAATCATGATTAGTGTTAAAATTTCATTGAAATTTGTCAAGCAGATACTGCATATTACAGTAATTATTAAGAACTGGATCATTGGATATTGCAATTCAAGAGTTATCATTGGCTTAGCCATCATGGATTATAAGCCTTTATTCTATGTGTGTGCATGAAGACAAGTAAAACCAGAAGTGTTTTGGTACAATGTAACATTTCATTTGTTCTTATGCAATAATTTTGGTAAGATTTACCTACATTTTGGGGCATTTTTTAATGAAACAATTATTCCACTTGCACTTGTTGGATATGAGATGATTATAGCCAACTTGGGCTGTCTATCATCTCATATCCAATGTGTGCCTGTGGAATAATTGTTTATTTCAGCAATTATACCATCGGTGCAACTCACCAGATTAAACCCACCAATTCCAAAATGAACTCCTGCTTCAAAGTCTTTCTCAAGAGGTGACTGGGATAAAGAATGTGGTTGGTCTGCTATCATTTCAAGGCAAGTCCTGTTTAAAACAAGGATTCTAAAACTTAATTCATTGGCTAAACAGAGACAAAGACCAATACTACACAACTTTATTGCTGTTAAACCTTTTCTTAAAGGTTGAAAATTACTTGGTCCATTATCTTTGATGGTTAATAAAATTCTTTTTCTACGAGATTGATTGAACTATTATGTCAGTAGTTAAAATGATGAGCCAAATATCTCACCAAAATAGTGAGTAAGTAAATAAGTAGACCTAGTTTAAAGGAGATAATATTAGACAGTAATTAAACTGATTAACTTATGGCCCTCAGAATAAATGGAGACTGAAATATGATATTAATAGAAATACATAGGAAAAAAATTCAAATAGAATATAAAGCTATGGACATTGAGGATTTAAAACTACTGAATGATACAAATAGTTACAATAAAATGTGATTATTCAAACAATGATTTCAAACCATCTAAAATTAATTCACATGAATATTTGCATATGAACTTGAGTGTCTATTGTCTGATAAGTAGCTAACACTAATTTAGTCCTTACTTGTAATTCTGATAACAGGTCCTAATTTTCAAAGCTCCCCACACAAAACTGACAAGATTGTCATCCTGCAGTAATCAATCAAAATATTCAGACATAATTTTAACAAACACAAATGTGACTGATCTGCAGCATTTTATAGCATACGGTATACATCAACACAAGAATCCTTCAGCAAAATACAATTTTTTAAAACCAGACCTATGAAGTTAGTAGTGCACAATATTTATTGTTCACTATTACCTGAATAAATGTTAGTAAAGCATCAAGAAGAAGACATTCTGTATAGCACAGCTCAGCATGCTTCTCTTCTGCAAAGAAAGATTTCATTTACATCAAAAATGATTTAATTTCATTTTCCATTTAATTTAATTTACTTTAGTTCAGGTACTTAATTTCAAGCCCTTGACTCTGAAAAATCAATTAAAATTAGAGAAAGATTTAAAAATGGCAATAAATCTTGAAACCAAAACCTCTAAAACAGTGTAAATGAATTAAGTCTAGCAGTTAGCTTATTAAGTCTCTGTTAAATTCAATGTGTGGAGTTACTAGCATCAACGACTTTTCATTTATAAAACTTTGTTTGATGATGAAAAAGAACTGAAGATCATTGTACAAACCCATGGAAAACTCATCATATGCGGAACTCCATATCCAGCTTGAAAATGTCTCTGACCATGTTGGCTTTTTCCTTTGTCTGAAGATAAAATAATTAAAACAATTCTGTTTCATTCTATAATCATTATGCCTTATGCTATGGTGTATTCCTTAAACCTTTAACTCTCATGTGTGACCAAGACAGAATTTCTCCTTACAATATAATGTCAACCAGATAAGTGATGAGAATAAAGAAAAACATCAATTTGGGGATAGTTGGTTGATCCAATACTAAATTCTCTGAACTAACATTATCAAAATTGTACGGTTGACAGTGTGGAGAATTACAAATTTGAGATTAATGGTTAATGAATGAATAGCCATGGTTAACATGTCGATAAACAGATCATTGTTAGTACCTCTCACAGATATTCACAGCCAACTTGACACTTTCACTTGCCTTTTGAATTGCTGGCTGGAAATAGAGAAAAAAATTTCAATTCAATTCTCTAATATGGCATCTTAAATTTTACAACGTTGACTCTGTGAATACTAATCATACTTCTGTGACAAATCATGTAGTTTAAAACTTATCAAATATGACAAGATCCTACCAGCCAACTGTTTTGGAGTCAAAGGTGTAAGATTTCTATTGTGGAAGAAATTAACCCTATTACATTGAAAGGTCTAGAAAAGAGTACATTTTCAAAGATGTTCCAAATATTTGCAAATAAATTTATTATCTTCTGAATACATATTATTTCCAAGATGTCCTCTGTCAGGCACTCAGACAAAATTTTTTCTGTTCTCATCTTGATTGGAATAAAGTTTTTATGTATTTTACTCGGACTCTAAACTTTTCATTAAGGTTGTGGTAACTTGACTTTTTTAACTAGGTGTGAAAAATTAATCAGCAGGCGCATGGGAGAAATTTTAACCTGCAGAGAAGATTTAATATATCAGGCCTTAGACGTGAAAAGCCCAAGGAATATTGTACACATTGCCTTCCTGAATTAACCCTTTAACTCCTAGCAGCGATCAATATGCAACTTCTCCCAATAATATCTATACATTATCCAGCAAACAGGTAATGAGATTTACTCAAACTTTTCAGCTAGAAGTTGTCATCTTGATCTAACGCCAAATTCTCATAACTAATTTACAAAGAAATGTGTAGTAGCTAGAGGAGAGAATTAAAAATCAGATCTTGGGAGTTAAAGGGTGAAAGTACAGACTCATACCTGTTCAAATTTCAACAGAGCTTGAATGCACATAATACTGCTGTATGCAACTGCATGGTACATGCTTTTGTTGATCCTGAAACCATAAACTTAACTTGAATATCCATTTATTCATTACATATACATGATTTGTGAAGTCAACAAATATTTCCACTTGACTGTATCCCTAAACAAATTGTACATGTTGGGAGATTTTCTGGGTGAGGGAAATCCTGAAAAGGTAAATTTTTTTGTGAAAAGAACTAGAATTATTATAGTAGTTTTTCACTAAATAAAAACCAGAATCTGATGATGATTTGTGCTCAGTTTGCCTAACAAAATAGGTTGAAGCAATGCAAACTGTGAAATTATATATTTTTTTTCTGATAGCCACTTGGCTCCTCAATTTTTGATGATTTCATGATGAAGCATTCTAGTTGCCAATCTGGTGACTAATTTTCAGGATTTGATTGCCAAAGTGAAAAATTCAGTCACATTGGCGCC